AAAAGTCCTTTTATCTACTTTAAATCTTTCTAATAATTGTACATAGGAAAACCATTGACACATGTATCGTTCTAATGTCAAATCATCTCTTGATTTCATGTTGAATTCTCCCTGGGAAAATTCTGATACATCACCATAAGTTAACCATTTATGTTTAATTATAATTTATTTTCTATAATATGCTTCTTGTGGTGAGAGCCACAAAGGTATTTTCGGACACAATCTGGATTTATATCTATTCCATGTTCTCAATATGGCCCGTCTAACAAAATGATTTTTAAAGTCAACATTAATTTTAGCTTGATGCCACCCAAACCTCAAATCATGTCTTTCTAGCTCCAATCATCTGCTATTTCTCAGTGTCACCTGCTCTTTCATCCAAACTAAACAGCAAGCTGCAAAGTATGGTTTCAAATCAGGTAAACCCAAACCTCCTCTTTCTTTAGCATCGTGTAACACCTTATATTTGATTCGTGGGTTGTTTCCCCTGCCACACAATGAAAAGTGTTTTTTTCACTAATTATGATATTTTTTCAGCCTGTATTGTGCTAATAAAGAGTAATGAGGATAGGCTTTGTATTATTTCAGTGGTGGCTGGGTGACCCTAGAAGCCCCACTAGTGGAGAAATGGCCAAAGAGATTCAACAATCAAAATGAGGACCTGCTCTGAAGCAGCAAATTGAATAAGATAGTTGTGAAATGCTTCACAGGGCTGCAAAGAGCTGTGCAGATTCAGTGGGTTTTCTGCTGCCTCTGGGGTTGTTATGGACAGTATGCACTGATGCATGTATAGAGAATGCTGGGAGTGGGGATTTAATGGTGAGATGGGCTCTCTGACCCTGGGATGAATTGTCAGCCAATGAGTTTTATACCTTATTAATGTCTGTGCCTATCAGAACGTTTGGGATGGCAAAGCTAACATTACTTTAGGCTGCACTCACCTTCTCAGCTTTCAGTATAGCCAGTCACTAATACATTGTTCCGCTCTGCCTTGTTTTGCCAGTGTTGCACCACAAGCTCTGACTCTTTTGTTTTATGTCTAAAGAGTGGGCATACATCATGATGCATGGCACTCTTTTTATCATTCTGTGTCTCCTGGTTCCACCCTCCTTTGCGGATACCACTGCTGTCAGAAGATAAGATAGCTGGATACCTGTATCATGAGCAGGACCATATAACTGGATGGCTGAACAACAAGGAACACCTTCTGCCTTGGTTCAGCATAATGTAGGCTCTTTGCTGAACAGCCTGAAGGGTGCTGTGCTGTTCTTTTCTCGTCCCTGTTATACAGTATAAGATGTCCCATGGAAATATCTCAAAACATTTTGTAGTGAAGCCCTTGAAGATATCTGGCTAAAACTTGACATTGTTAATGACCTCTAAACTGTCTACTTTCCTTGCTGTTTACCCCATTCTGCTAAAACATGAAGTATTTCAGGCATTTTGATTCTTCCCCATTATAACTTGCAGGTGTCTCTTGAAACACTCAATTGGCTCTTAGATCACAAATGCATATCACATTAGGACCTCTTGGGATCCTGAATCTCCAATTCAGTGCAAATCAAATGAAAACATATTTGCACCAGCATAATACGCATGCCTTGTCTTTCATTGCTCAATTATTTCTCCAGCGGTCTGCAGCCTCCCTATACTACAGTTAAATCTCCTGGGAAGACTTCATGAGGGCATTTCATCCACTTTACTGTTCCTGTGTGGGCAGCCAAGAAGGATCAGAGGGAGGGAAAGAAATCTAACAGAAAACAATTGCACAATAGTAGCACCCTTCTCCGCTTCCAGCAACAAAGTAAGCTGAAAAACATGACCAAAAGAAATGTGAAACAAATACTCAAGTACCCTGGAAGTAAAATAGAAAAATGGAAGCTTCTTTGGTTGAGGAAGAAACTTTTAGAGAAATTCCAAGGCAAATTTGGACAGGATAATATTATTTACAGAAAAAAAAAAAAAAAAAGGGGGGGGGGGGAAGCCTGAGAAATTCTCTAAGCAGGATGTGCAAATCCTATGTAAGCCATTACCCGTCTACAGGAGGGTTCATCTTGGTAGTCCTTTCAGGTAATCGTATCTGTTTTTAACATGTCAGGATGATACATATGTGTAATGCAGCCCAGCCTGTTTCTAAATACCCCTGAAACTGCTGCAGTGTTCCATGTCTTCATAAAACCTGCCTAATTAGTGATGGTTCTTCCCTAGGCAACTTTAAAGGATTTGTTTCTTACCAGAGTGAAATTAGATGTCGAGCACAATGTCAGATTCAGTACAATAGTTCATTACTTACAGCAGTGTTGTCCAAACTTGGCCACTTTAAGATGAGTGATTTTCACCTCCAAGAATCCCTCGCCCGGCCATGCGGGCT